AGGAGGCAGTAGGGGGAGCGGGGGTGTCCACAGTTTTCGAAGTCAAGTAGAATTTGCTCCTGCTCCCACTTGGGGGCCGTGGACAAGCTCCTTACCCTCCTATGTCCTCTTCTCCTTACGTGTAACATAAGGAAAATAATAGTAGCTACCTTATGATCTTAGTGGACACCACCTCATTGTGCCCCAGGACACCTTGAACTCAAAGGCGAATCATGGCAGTAGAAGAAGCCCCCAGCCCCGAATAAGGGAGAGGAAGAGCTGAACAGAGCGAGGTAGAGCCGGGATGGTGGTTAGTAATGTGCCCTGCCCCAGCCACAGTGTCTGCACATTGCAAGCCCACAATAGATGTGACCTGGTTGTTGTCGCCATGGTTAGGTCACTTGCCCACCTGTCTCTACCTGAGTAGCTGTCCTAACTTGCACGATCATTAAAAGCACACTCTAGCTCAGGATGTCTTTCTGTTCATTACCTGGTAAGACGTTATCTAATTTTTAAGACATTATCTAAGCCTCTAGGTTTTCCTAATTGCTTTCCCCATGAAACTTTAATACAGCAGATGCATTGCAATTCTATGTGTTGTGAGTAATTTCAAGCGTCGTCTCAGCTGGGCCGTGAGTTGTAAACCCAACCCCTAGTACACAGACTTGGGGGGGAGATGTTATAGGCTCCGGATGGAAGGTTCTTAGCCAAGCAAGACTGTGGCTCGTGACCTGAGAGACCTCGCCTCTCAGTTCCGCCCTTCCAGATGGACTGGACACCTTCCCTGAGAGGCAGTCCCAGGACGTTGGGCCCCACCTAGAAACCTCCTTGCTTGCTCTTCACTCCCAACACCGCTATCTTCCATCACGTTCTCAACCTGCAACCTCTTTATCCCCTACGTAAAACTCTTGATATTCTCTTTTCCTTTCAGAATCATCTTTAAAACATTTTGAAACTGGACCCCAAAGGTTAGCGACTTTCCCTTTGTTAGAGGGCAGGGATGACCCAGGCATCCAATGCTCCTCAGCATTAAGAGGGAAGGTTTGGTTTTAATCCTTAGGAATACATGTGCTTCAGGTCCTAGAATGGGTTAGAGTGTTTTAAAACAGTTGTCACTGGGGCACCTGGGTGGCTCAGTCAGTTAAGCATCCGACTCTTGATTTGGCTCAGGTCAAGATCTCATGGATCATGAGTTCAAGCCCGAGAGGGATCTGAGCTGACAGCCCAGAGCCTCCTTCGGATTTTTTCTCTCCCTCCTCTCTCTCTCTGCCCTTCCCTCGCTCTCTCTCTCTCTCTCTCTCAAAATAAATAAACATATAAAAAATAAAATGGTTGCCATGAAGTTTTTAAATTAAAATTGGTTGAATGTTCACGTCCTGCTATTTTATTCATCTCAGTTAACTTCTCTACCCATCACATGAGGTAGTTCTTATTATCAGCCCCCATTTTAAAGATGAGGCAACTCAGAGAGGTTAAGTAACTTGCATGAGGTCACACAGCTAGTAGGTACCTAAGCTGAGTGTTCAGCCCAGGTCTTTCTGACTTAGAGTCTGAACCCTTAAACCACCACAAGCAAACTCTAAGAGACTCAAAGGTACTCTGGCCCTAGGACAGGGTTAAACTCAGGAAACATCCGCTTTTTATCCAGCTTCTGGATTTAGCAGACATTCCGCATAGGTATGAGAAAGGCTGAGGTCGCTAAGAGAAATCACAGTCGTGGTCAACCTAAGGTTAACTGAGATATGCTGGGTTCTATCTCAGGGCAGAGGGAAAAAAAATGATGCTTAATCTCATTCCCAGCCCAATGCCAAAGGCCAAAGGCCAACTACCTCCCCTGTGTCCTCACAGGCAAAAAAGAACTAGAACTCACAAAGTGACCTGGAGGGGAGATGGCTGTGGCAATCAGAACACCCTAAGAGATAAGAAAAAGGTTAGGAGAACTGTGGCGACAGAGGCACGGGAAAAGAAGAGTCCCGTCACCTTATGTTGAAAACGTTTGCCCACTGGAAAAACTAAAATTTTAATCTAGACAGGATCTGTGAGAATTTATGTCTGCCTCCCCAGATGCCAACTTTTGACATTAAGTGTTGCCCACCACCCACATATTAAATGTAGAATTCACAAGAGGATCATCTTTAGCGCTGATGAAGTATGTATAGAACCTGGGAATTGGTTTTGGCTTCATTTTTATTATACAAGCAATATATGTTCATGGTAAGCAAGACCAACATCATGGAAGGGAATCAACGGAAAAGTAAAGGTCTTAGTACGATGCCAGCCACTCTTTTCGCCTCCCCAGGAACAATCGCTTTTGCTAAGAGATTTAATTCCAGAGCTTTTCTAAGCAGTCACGGGAAAACATTGGTTTTTTGCTAATGTTTTTAGACAAATGGGACCGTACTAGACATTATTGTCTTGTAACTGCTTTTTTTCAGCATATAATAACATGCACGAGATAGCTTGCCACATACACCTTTTAATAGCCATCTGATATTCCGCTCAGTAGAGACGTATGAAGAGATTTTAACTAGCCTCCTTTTTTGGACATTTAGGAGCAATATCTGAGAAATAATGATAGTTCACAAAATGATTTGATGAATAAACATTTTTGTACACAAGCTCCCGCTCGAATACAATAAATTCTATGGTGGCAAAAATTTCACCTGCTTTGTTTACTGATGAACCTCCAGCAGTTGGTTCGCTGCCTGACATGTAGCAGGTGCCCAATAAGTGTTTATTGAGTGAATATATCTTCGTGTGTATATGTATCTATACAAGTATTCAAATTTTATGTGTATGTTGACCGCTGCCCCTCCAAAATTATTGCTTCACCATCTATTCTCTACTCTGTTTTGTTCTGTTTGGTTTTGGTCTGCTGGGGATATCTTAAGAGCTCAGTGTCATGGAAATAGTGAGTGACTGTGTATGTTTCCCATTGTTGCTATAAGTAGCTGCCATGAATTTCGTGGCTGGAAACAACATAAATTCATTATCTTCTAGTTCTGGAGGGCAGAAGTGTATAGTATAGGTTAGCAAGGCTGCATGCTCCTTAAGAAGGTTTTAGGATAGAATTCATTTCCTTGCCTTTTCTGGCTTTTAAAGCTTGCATTCCTTGGCTCGTGGTCTCTTCCACATCATTCCAACACCTGCTTTCACTGTCACATCCTTTTCTCCGATTCTGACCCTCCTGCCTCCCTCCTTCCCTTCCCTGGATGCTTGTAATTTACACTGGCCCCACCTGGATAATCCCAGACAATCTTCTCGTTTTGAAATCACATCTGCAGAGTCCCGTTTGCCACAGAAGGTAACATATTTGCAGGTCCCAGGGATTAGGACTGGGACATCTTTCGGGAGCCATTATTCTGCACACCACAGCATGGGAATCAGGTTTGAACTTCAGCACTGCCTCTTCCGCATGCACACCCTAAATACGTGGTGCGTTCCTGCTTGCCACGTCCTGAACTAAATCTAAGCAATACACTAACTCACTCCGTGGTCTTGGCCAAGTTGTATAACTTCCCTGAAGCTCCATCTGTCACTTTCAGAATTGGAGAGATTAATATTTGTTTCACAGGAAATTCTGCCTGTCGAAAATTGCAGGCAAACCTTCCCATTCAGGAAATTATTACACGTTGTTTTAATCTTGACAAAATGTAAGTAAAATCCTGGTTAAGCCGTAACGAGATAGAGAAACAGATCCTCTTGCATCTGCTGATGTGAATGTAGATTGGGACAGGCTTTCTAGAGGGCAATGTTGCACTATGAATGTAACGAAAAGCCTTATGTTGGTTCTCTTTATCCCACTAATTATCCATTCTAAGTATATCTTAGGAGCATGGTTGAATTTATGTGCAAAAATGTTCAGTGAAATATTATTTATAATAGGGGGTGATGGTGGAAACAAACTAAATGTCCATTAATCAGGGCTTAGATAAATAAGTGTGATATATCCTCATTACAGAAATATTATCAGCCATGTAAAAGGATTTTGTAGAATACTAAATAGTATGCTCGAGGTTTGTCAAATATCAGTGACAAACTTGGAAACCCGCCTCACTTACTATCTCAAATCGGTAAAAGAATTGTGCGGTGAGAAGGGAAAAAAAAAACTGAAAATACACATTTCATGGTATTACAGTGACTATTTCTGGGTAATGGAATAACGGTTGATTTTCATTTTCTAACAATTAAGTTGGGGGGGAAGGAATGTCCACATAGAACAATTCCTTTGGTTGGATTATCAGGCGGTCCTTGTGTGGAACAAAAACTTCCAAAGGTGTCCCTCTAGTGGAAGAAAGGATGCGGCGGCTGGGGGGACACCCGGGAGCGACTTTTTAAGAAACAGATTATTATTGCATTCAAGACATTTCGAGATAAACAAGGGCCTGTAAGTAGTAAACTATTCTGCTCATTAAAAAAAAAAAAAAAATGTTTACAGGGAGATAGAGGCCAACTGCAAAAGTAAAACTGAAACCTCACCGTGGCAAAGAGGGCCACTAATTCTAGGCGCGCTTAGACAACTGACAGCTTTTTCATTGCCGAGGTTGGGGAACTAAACTCCTTGGGTTTAATTCTCCCCTCCTTGCTTTGGGGTAGCTCGGGTTCTAGTTGCAGATCCAGGCCGCCCCACCCTCCGACCGAAGGGACAAGGCAAGACGGATTCCCTAAAGGCCGTGGGCTGGAGCCTGAGGTCTGGAGCCGACACCTGTCGGGAGCGCGCAAGCACCAAGTTGCTGGGGAACTCTACGAATCTTCGGCTCCACTCGGCTCCTCTTCGGCTAAGTTCGGTCAGCTCTCCTCGCGGCTTCGGCTCCTCCTCGGCTGAGTTCGGCTGGCTCTCGACCTGTCGGGCTCGGCTCCCTTCGGCTTCCTTCGACCGACGCTCGTCTCCCGCTCGGCTCTGTTCGGCTGAGCTCGGCTCGCGCTCGGTTCTGTTCGCCTGAGCTCCGCTCCCGCTCGGCTCTCTTCGGCTGAGCTCGGCTCCCGCTCGGCTCTCTTCGGCTGAGCTCGGCTCCCGCTCGGCTCTCTTCGGCTGAGCTCGGCCGCGGCCCCGGAAGGGCGCCCATGGAGCCGGTACCGCCGGCTCGGCCGACCGCTATGGCGCCGCTGCTGGAGTATGAGCGGCAGCTGGTGCTGGAACTACTGGACGCGGACGGGCTGGTAGTGTGCGCCCGCGGGCTCGGCGCGGATCGGCTCCTCTACCACTTCCTCCGGCTGCACTGCCACCCCGCGTGCCTGGTGCTGGTGCTCAACACGCAGCCGGCCGAGGAGGTGCGGCTGCCGGCGCGGGGGTGAGGGGGTCCCCGAGAGAGTTGGGGGCTTCCCGAGCGGATGCAGGCCCGGCGCGGGCGCGAGGCCTCTGAGGGCGCCGGCGGTCCCTGGCGCCGGGGGAGGGCGTTGAATGGGGGTCCGTGAGGCAGATGCAGGGCCCTGACACCGGCGCGAGGACGTAGGGTGGGAGGGGTCCCTTGGAGGATGCACGTCCCTGACACGGGCGCGGGGACACTGAGAAGGATGAGAGGGGTCCTTGAGGCGGACGCGGGTTCCTGACGCGGGTGGGAGGACACGGGAGTGGGAGGAGTCTCGAGGCCGACGCAAGCCCCTGACACCGGCGCGGGGACACCGAGGGTGCGAGGGTTCCCGAGCAGGGTGCAAGTCTCTGACACTGGTGGAAGAGCTTGGAACGGGGGTCTCTGAGACAGCTGCAGGTCCCTGCCGAGGGTGCAAGGACGCAGAGGGACGGAGGGGCTCGGAGAGGGGGAGGGGAGTCACCACCGGAGGCGAGGGGCAGAGAGAAAGCTTGGAGGTCCCGGAAGAGGACGCGATGGCCAGAGACGGCTGCGGAGGAGGCAGCCTTGATGATGATGAGAGAGGCCCCAGGCCGGGTACCATGGGGCCTGTTGGGTCAGAAGAGCGGGATCTGGAAAAGGGAACAGTGACGGGGATGGGGGAGTCTCAGAGGGTAATTGCAGGATGTGAAAGGAGAGACTGAAACTGGGGAGAACCCTGTAGGGAAGAGGAGGGTCTGAGGGGGTTGACCCAGGCTGGGGGGAGGGGGCTGAGGGTCAGAAGGGAAGGGAGCTGGAAGCTGAGGACCTGGCGGTTAAGGACTGGAGGGCGCTGAGGACAGAAGACGGGTACACCTGTGCCAAAACGGGGCGTTTGCCATTGAGAGGTGGCGCAGCCTGGTCTGACGGGTCTGCTGCGCCCCTAGGTAGAGCAGGTGGCCAGGAGGCAGGTGGCCGCCGAGAAGAATGCCCACAGACTCCGTGAGGGCAGGGATACTGTCTGATTTGTCTAGGGATCCCCAGTACCTGGCACAACCCAGGGCCCCCAGGAGAGGAAGGGTTGCCCTGAAGACACAAAGGGCCAAGCTCCCACCGACCTGAAGCCCCGCTGGGGCGGATGGGGACAGAGCCGCCAGTCTAAAACTCGGCTTGGGAAGAGGATTCCTTGCGATCTCCTCACACCCTGTGCTTGCCTGCAAACCTGGCTTTGATGGCAAGTGTTTTCTAGCTAGCCGAAGTCTTTTAACTGAGGGTTTTAAAGTGTTATTGTTGTTAAAATGCTCGTAACTCAAGTGCAGTGATGCCTCAGCACAAACCCAAAAACCCAACAAAAGTAAAAGCCTGGTTGCATGTGGATGATTGGTTGATCACCCAAAGCGGTAACTTGGTTTGTATATTCCTCAAGTTCCCTGTCTCTCTTTTTAAATACAAAGACCTTGCCGCCTAGTAAAAACTGCCCTGTATTAAACAGACTGCTAATCACACTTGATTTGATGTAGGAGTATTTTATCAGTCAGCTGAAGATTGAAGGAGTGGAACACCTCCCTCGTCGGGTAACAAATGAAATCACAAGTAACAGTCGCTACGAGGTCTACACCCAAGGAGGTGTGATATTTGCAACAAGTCGGATACTTGTGGTCGACTTCTTGACTAATAGAATACCTTCAGATTTAATCACTGGTAAGAATTTGACACCTTGTCATTATTTGTATAATGATACAAACTAGCACTTTTTTGTGCCTGTCCCCACTGCTAAAGTCTAAACTAGAACCTCCTTGGGGGCAGCACTGGGTGTTTTGACTCAGCATTGTACTCCCAGGGGTTAGCACAATACCGGACACATTTTAGATGCTTAAAAAGTACTTGTAGCCTGAGTAAGTAAGAATGACTTTTCCTTGCTCTCTAAGCTCCCATCTGGTTAATACTTCGTAATTGGCTGGCATTTGCTTTTCCAACCTAATCAGCCTTGAAATGTTTATAGATATTCTTTGTATATTTCCTAAAATATTTGGTTTTTTCTTTAAAGAGTTTTTCTCCCCTCCCCCCCCCCCCCCGTGATTTGAAATTAAACTGAGTCATTGCTTAATTATTTTGAGAAATAATGGCTTCATTTTAGCTAGAATTAATATAGAAAAGGAATTCGTTCTCATTATTATTCATCTGTTGGGCAACCTTTTCTGATCTCCCCCAAAGCTCGTTTGAGGACCCTACCTCTCTGTCCTCGGGTTATCCTGTGCTTCTCCCCAGTCATAGCACTAAAGAACAACTCATTATATTTGCCAGTTTATTTTTCTGTCTCACTCTTAGATAACAAGTTTCATAAGCACAAGAAACAATTTGTTCATCGCAGGCTAAGAACCTGATACGCAGGGTATTAAACACGTATTTGTTGAATGAACGTTGTGTGAATAAGCTGTGATCTTCCGTAAACTTCTGGAGGGCAGAGCGACTGTGACATTCATAATGGTATATCCCACTATTGCCCTGACCCGGAAGACCCTCAGGAAGCATTTAGTGAATCAATGTATGAACGAATGTTTTATGTGGCTCATGGTACACTGATTGAAGAAAAGTGTTTTTATACTTTTGTAACATTTTATAACATTTATAACTGTAATAAGCTGGGGCACAGGTGGTGAGGTCGGACTCACCTGGCTTTGAATGGGGATGCCACCACTCAGAAGGAAGTTATGTGATTTTGGTGAGCCTCAGTTCTCTTTTCTCTCTCTCTTTTTTTTTTTTTTATTTTAGTTAGTTAACATATACAGGGCAATATTATTTCAGGAGTAGAATTCAGTGATTGATCACTTACATACAACCCCCAGTGCTCATCACAAGTGCCCTCCTTAGTACCCATCCCCCATCTAGCCCATCCCCCACCCACCT